TATTTGATATATCTTTTTTATTAAAAGATTTATCTATCAATTTTTTTTCCTCAGTGAATTTGAAAAAGGGTTAATTTTAATAAGGAGAAGTTTTTTTATCAGCTAATTGATGAATTATTTTTTAATCCAAACTTTTTCATTCAACTTTAAATGAATTGATACAAAAAATAGCCAAAAACATAAAAAAAAATATGATAATCAAAGATGAGATTATTAATCTTTGCATTAAAAGTAATTTTTGGATCTCTGCAATCAACTGGGGTGAAAAAAATATTAATATTTGATAGTGTTTGTCTGAAATCATATTCCCAAATGGTATACTTGATTTAAATTTGATTTATTGGTTTATGTCAATAAAGTTTTAGAACTTTTTTATTTCTTTATACTTTTTTATATCCTTTTGGATTTATTAACTTAAATGTATATGTATCAAGATACAACAAAAGAAAATGCACTAAAACAATGTTGAAATTTGGCAAAAAAAATAAAATTTGGACCATTTATTTTGACTTTGCCCTGGGGCAAACTGATTTTTTTTTTTTTTGGTATGAAAGAAGGAAAATTTTAGAGAAAATATGTTTATGTTAGTTGGCGAAAAAAATTGAAAGTGGTGAAAAATATATTGTTTTGGCGAAAGAGGTGGCAAAAAAGAAAATTAACCCAGGGGAAACCCTGCTCATATATATACATTTATAGTTTGATGTTAAATGGATGAATTTTGAAAAATTCTCAAATATCAAAACAAATTTTTCCAGTATTGCTCATCATATTTTTACATTTAGCAGTCAGGGGAATTACTGAAATAAGTGATTTATAAATCACTCATTTAAGTAGCAAATCAGAAATTCTGTGATTTTGTAGTTTTACCAAAATTTTAAACATACAGGTTTAGATTATATCTAATTATTAGTAAAATTGAAAAAAAAGAACCTTTTGCTTCTTTAAGTAGCAAGGTTTATGCCTTTGATGCAATCATTCATCTGTAAATTCTATATTTGTTGAAAAAATGCTATAATGAAGGCGTTACATAATGAACTAATATTTTCTTAACAGATTTTTCCCAGCAGTGGGAGTATTTTTCCTGTAAAATTCAAGGTTTCATCTTACAGATTATGCAATAAAATTTTACTGTTCGCGACCAAAATTTTACTGTTCGGGGGTGTTGAAATTAGTGGGGGTAATTAAAATAATAATACTTAAAGAAGTGATTTTTTGGAAGAAAATAGAGGTATAATACTTAAACAAGTGATTTTCATGTCATTATCCCAGATTCAGTACAAGGTCATCACCTGACATGACCGGTCATTCTATAAACACAGATGTTGGTTCTGATAATTTTAGCAACATAATTAGTCCCTGGATCATTAGTATTATATATTTAAAGCTACAATAAAATAAATCACTTAGTCTAGTGATTTATTTGTACTACTTAAATAGGTGATTATTAAAGAAAGACAACTCTTACTTCCAAAATTTCTAAAAAAATGTTACTTGAAATAGTGATTAAAGAAATCACTCATTTAAGTAATTCCCCTGACTGTTTAGTACTTTAAAATACAAATAACTTTGCTTTATCAATTCATTACCAATGCAAATAAGAACATAATTATATAAGATAGATATGAAATTTTTTGAATGGATTTCAAGTAAACATGGTAAAACAGTGTTTTCTAATCAGTTTATTACAATTTTCACCTTTGGGTAAATTATTCATTTCCAAGTCGAATTCAGTATGTCTGCATTAAGATTTAATGAAGTTTTCGTATGATAATAATTTTGCATGTATACACAATAATACAGTAGTTTCATCATGAATTATACAATTTTATAATCAAAGAGCTGATTGCTCTGAGGTGGAATGCATAGAAGGTAACTTGAATTACAATAAAAGCAGCCCCCACCAACCCAGCCTGCTTTGTCCCATTATTGCTTTCGACGTATTTTTTTCTTCCAAAAATAATAATACTCATAACTCAACCAAAACTCACTATACTTAACATTAAAATCTGCAAATACTGTTGATTCAAATTAAATCTTCTATAACTAAATTCCATACATTCGTCTCAGCATGGTCAACTTGATGCAATGCAATTTCGCCAAGCAATTATAACAGTAATTGATTTGGCTTCACTTGAAAGTTTTCTGTCAAAGGCAGATAGTTAACTTTAAAAAAAACTGGCCACCAAGATTTTAGTCAACTTAGCTTAAACTAGGGTTTTTCATTATGAACATATATTGAAAAATTCTAAATATATCCAATGCAGATATGTGTCAGGCCAAGGATTGACTGGTCAAGTCAGGTGATGACCTTGCTATGTTATAGCGATAATTTAGAGTCAAGCGCACACATGAATCTGCTGGTGTTTTACACATCAAACGATGCACCGTCAGTTGACAGAATCACATGTGCACTTGACTCTTTTAGCATTTCAAACCCGTTCATTTAAAGTGCTTGACCAATATATATGTTTTTCCTCTAATATTTTTACACAAAAGTATGAGGTTAGGAATGGCATTTTCTGTCAGGAGTCACACAGCCCTTTTCTGAAATTTTTCATGAAAATAAAACTATTGACAGCAACAAATTACTGGTTCCGTACTCGAGCCTCGATAATGTGTGTACCTTAATGACAATAATGGTAAAGAGCTGGACTATTCAGTTGTTAAATCCTGTTTTTTATCACTTCTAAAACTTTGAAACGTATAAAGGCAATAAAGGCAATCATTGGGGACATTCCGACAATGACCAACATATATGCATGAAAACTACGTACTTTCGAAATGGAATTCGTCAACAGACATTAGTTTGTACAATGATATTTCTGTCAACAGACGGTGCATCGTTTGATGTGTAAAACACCAGCAGATTCATGTGTGCGCTTGACTCTTTATTATCGCAATAACATACTTAAATATTCTAACTTTCGTTTTAAAAAACACGTTGTCTAAAACTGGAATATGACTTAATTGATTGCATAAAAGATCTGAAAGCAGACGGAACAACTAAATCCGTGTATTTTTTCAAGCATCATTGATTTGAAGTCGTACTCTCCACGTATATACTTGACTTTAACTCAATTCAAGATGGATTGTATGAATATATGACAAATTCTGTTTATCATTATTTTGAAACTTTCAGATGCACAATTAAATTTCCCATTTGTGCACATGTGCAGATATGAAACCAACGTGGTTCTGAATTTCGAGAATTTATACCATATAAATATCCGAATAAGTTTATTAAACTTTAATACCCACAAAATTATTATTTTTTAATAATTGCAAGGACGTATAAAACTTCCTTGATAAAAGCAGTCAATATAATACTTCCACAATAAAAGTAAGGAGAAGGAACCCAGGGTGAATGTTATCTATGGGGACGAACTCAAGGCGAACCGACCTGATACCAAATTCACTGATGCGTACTACAAACTCTACTTTAAAGACATCCGGTTAAAAGTAAATAAATAACGTTCATGTAAAATGAGATGAAATCTAATAATTTACATAAATAAAAGGGTAATTATTAATACATTAAAACATGAGAAATTATAACACTCACGATAGTGATCGTTTTTCAAGCCTAACTAATAAATTAAATGATGCAGATTAGATCATGTGTAAACATCGGTGTCAAGATATGGCATGGAAGTTGTTATGAAATTGTAAAGCACAGAAAGGGATACGGCATACGTCCTGGTGACGGTTCAATGATTTTACAGCCGGCAGTAAAGGCTTTCAGTCTTCCACCAAAAATCAATTTTCACACTGAACTCTGTGAAAATTTGACAGATCAGAGTTTACCGATAATATAAATCAAAAGTTCCAGAAATTGGGGTAGTTCAAATTTAACTAATTTTGGTGCGAAAATTAATTTTTGTCTCTACCCAATTATTTGGACTAGTATTCTTTCTTCATCGCAATTTTTTTTTTATTTAAGTGTCAGTGATGATGAGTCATTTGTATACGAAACACGCATCTGGCATACAAAATTTTAATCCTGGTATCTTTGAAGAGTTTATTCTTTGATCACGATCACTATCTGGAATTTATTAACGTCTCCTCGGAGATGTTATTAAGAATTGAACGATGGACAGTCAGTGTGTGAATGCCTCTTACTACCTGATTGGAAGATATTACGAGACGTGAATAATCAAAGTTTGTTGATTGGTTAGGACAATCCAAACCTAGTAAATGTCTTTCAATCCCGTAGAGTATCGGATTTGTCCTCTCTATTTTAGCAATTAGATTTTGCCTGGTCATTAATCATGCATATTCATGACATTGGTATACAGGTAACTTTTATCTATAAATAGCCAAATCTTCTGGAGTTTTGTAAACACACACAACGTTAAACGATATACTACTTCATAACGTGTGACCTCACGTGAGTGGTAAAATTTGTTGATTGATATGCAAGACTATTCTGAATGAATTAATCTACAAAGCGAGGACAACTTTCCATTTTCATCAGCTAAGAGACGGCTAGACTTTTTTTGAAAAGCTATTACTTGTTAATTTGATTGCTCTCATCTGCACTTTTTGATCAGAAATTATTTCTTGGGTAAAAATTATATCTGTATAACCGATGGGTGAAAAATGGGATATATTCAACATTGTTTGGATATTTTTTTGTCAATTACCAGTGATTTAAATGTTACTTCTTCTTCTACTTCTTTATTTTCTGGAACCACGTTTTCAGAAGTTGCTTCAGATGCCATTTTCAATGTAATTACAGAGCTTGAAACTAAAACTGAATATTCGGATATTCAAACGTTTCGATCACCAAGAAGAATTCCATTTTTGATAAATTATCTTACAAACCGAATATATCAACTATATTTCCTTTTTTTAATAATGCAATAATGATTATTATTTATAAACGTTTATCAGAAAAATTAATTAAACAAAAAGAAAAGATTTGCTTATTCGATTGTTTATATTTTAACTGCATTTATAGAAATCAATGAAAATTTCGTTTCTGATTAAATTTTGTAGTATTGTTGAACGTTTTTAGACGATGGCAAAACATCACCCAGATTTAATTTTCTGTAGAAAACAGCCAGGGGTTGGTCAGTATTACTAGCTTGTTGTGCGGTTTGTGGAAGATTCTTTGTAATTGAGTATTATCCTCAATGTATAGGAATAAAACACAAAAGCATAGATGAAAATTAGATTTTTTCAGTTTATGAAGAATGAGCACAGCCTCACACTCACAGGCACTTGTTTCTATCTATGGGAAGATCCACTATCTTCCCATTGATAGAAACAAGTGCGTGAGAATGAATTAGAATTATTTTATATGTGAAATTATCTAAAAATCTCAGGCTGAAGTTCAGTACTCTGGCTTATGTTTGAACATACATAATTTTGTACATTTATAAAAATAAGAAGATGTGGTATGATTGCCAATAAGACAACTCTCCACCTGAGACCAAATGACATAGAAGTTAATAACTAAAGATCACTGTACAGCCTTCAACAATGAGCAAATCCCATACTGCATAGCCATTAAAGCCCAGAAATGACAAAGGTAAAACAATTCAAACGAGAAAACTAACAGCCTGATATACATACAAAACAATGAATGAAAAACAAATATGATATACAGCAACAAACAAAAAACACTGAATTACAGGCTCCTGACTTGGGACAGGTACATACAGAATGTGGCAGGGTTAAACATGTAGTCGAACTTCAGAACTTTTTGTATACTTCTTGGAGTGATTACTTTCTAGTTAAGCTAAATCTGATACCTTAAAACATTGAACTATTCATAAAACATGACATACCTTATATTATGATCTGATTTTTATTTGCCAACAAAAAAAGTACATGTATAAAATTTTTGCAAATACAAGATATATTTTAATACATTAAAATTTACCGATACTTATATAACCTAAATTATTGGCACTAGACCAAACCAACACAAAAAAATACAGCATTATTATGTCTATAACATGTATAATATTAGTTAATATTAAATGCTAAAACTAAATTTCATTTGCAACACGTCAAAGGGAGATAATTTTGTATAGATTGATTGAGCTACAGCACTGCCAAATGTCAGAGTTAAATACAGTACCATTCAAACGGACCAGCTCTCCAACACCCTACACCAAGGAAAATTTCAGAGTCACTCCGAGAAACTCCGATATTCCTCCCAAAATGTTGGGAGGAATTAAGGAGTAATCTCTCCCAAAATCGCGTAAATGTTAATTGTGATAGTGAGCTCACTCCCAACACCGAGGAATTAATTGCCCTAATCCTACTTTAATCTATGCCGGCACACGACTGATAGGGTAATTGGATTACCTGATGTAATAAACAATTATATTTCCGGTCTACTGTACCAGTTTAAGTGTCAAACAAGTGTATAATTTTAAATGTCTTTTTATATTGGTTAAGTTTAATTTTTGTGTTAAAAATAAGTTAAAATCTTTTCGTATTTCTTGCTTGCTAATCTAAAAATAATTTTACCTAAATGGACTTGCTTGTTTAAAAAAAACCGACATTACTGAAAAAGGTTTATAAAATTTTGTGGAAAATGTGGAAAAAAACGCGAAATTCTACTTCAAAGCTTAATAAATGTGAGCAGTTTAAAGAAAATTATGCAGGCCATAATCTTGCCGGCGAAATGACGATTTAAGTCGCCAAAGAATTTTGAAAATCGCTAAATCTAGCCGGCCGACTGACTTCATAGCGAAGTCAAATCGCTATCAAAATCGGTAAAAGGGAGACAACTTGTGATTGACAAGTCTCACAGGTAAAAAGAATGGCGGCTCACAAGGAAAATTGAGATTTTCAAAACGACCCAGGACTAATACTGTAAACGATCAAATTAGATAAATACAACGGCGACTTTGAACATCCTCGGATATAACTTTCAAAACTGTTCAAACGGAATACTGACCGCCTGTTTAAGTTATCGTTTTACGATGATTTTCATCTGAGGATGTTGCGTAATCACTCAGCTGATTTGTTTTATTTTTATTACCTACACGAGTCGATCAATTTTACTATTCAGTAGATAAAGGGTGGGAACTAACGGTAGATTTATTATATTCATTGAATAAAAATTGAAATATAAAAGGTAGAAAGACAGCTGATGGATAATGTGATTGCAAACGTACGACAATCGACCAGATTGTAATCAGCAGTGGATTTTTTCTCATGACCACTTCGTTGATATGGATGATATTTTTTAAAAAATGATAGAAATTAGCTCTTTAGGGAGCTACCATTTGATTTTTATGGGGCGGGGGGGGGGGCTAGGATGAAATTTGAAAAAAATTGGCAGGACAGGAGTTTTGAGTAAAAAAAAGGCAGGATGAGATTATTTGCAAAAAAAAAAGGCAGGATGACAATTTATGTAAAAAAAAAAGTCAGGATAAACTAAAAAAATAAAAGGCAGGACCAAATAGAGTGAAAAATATAAAGGCAGGACCGAATAGAGGGAAAAATAAATAGGCAGGACAATATTTTTCATCCTAGCCCCCCCATAAAAATCAAATGGTAGCACCCTTATCGGATAATTATTTTGCGATTGAAAGATATTTTTATTTATAGACTTACAATCTTTAACGATAATCATAATTTACAACTAACATAAAGTTTTACAAAATAATGACAAGTGGTGATCTAAATTAAATTCCCAGTCATGTGAAATTCATCAGGTAAACTGGGAGTCATATTTTTCTGGAGTTTTAAAAACAAAATTGCACATGAATTTAATGCATCATAATCTTGATAATATTACTAGGCTACTCCCTCATGTCCCAATCAACAAATTTTATTTAGAACACACTATGGTATCAATAAATAAATAACAACTATATATTGTCTAAAACTTTTTATTAAGAACTTTCTATATACTGTAAATTCAGAAATTATTGCGTGCATTTATTATAGCGATTTTGTCATTTTAGACTAAAATGCGATTTTAATTTTTGTGATATTGAGAAAAATCCTGTTTGATTCATATAAAAATTTAAAATGAGAGTTTAAATTATTGCGATCATAACCCTGTCGCATTTCTCGCAATAATAAAAACATCGCAATAGTTTCTGAATTTACAGTATATATACATTGTGTACAATAACATATGAAAAAACTGCAAGTATATCTTTTATTGAATATAAAACAATTTCCTTAGTGATACATGTGATAAGCATGAAAACATGATGCAACCGAAACGGTAATGGAATCTCACTTCTCCCTTCTCTCTCATGGAAGGAGAAGTCACTTCTCCCTCTTCAAAATCCTAGATTAGGCCCTGATTATGTGTCTCAAAGTTTTGTATACAAGCTTAAGTAAAAAAGAAAATATTATTCACCATTAGTTATGCTTAATAAGTCTATGGCATTTTCTTTTTATGATTATCTAATTGCTTGAAACAAATAAAAGATTTAAAAGCAAAATGTTGTTGTTAATTCTTTCAATTGCATTAAAGTTTTATAAAAAAAAAACTATACTTGATTTTGACCTCGTTTTTTTTTTCATCGGTAAATTAATAATTTATTTACAAAAAGGGACATACTTTTGTAAAAAATAGACGGAAACTACCGCTGATTAAATGTGAGCAGTTTAAAGAAAATTACGTGTCTCAAAGTCTTGTATATGCAAGTAAAAAAGAAAATATTATTCACCATTCGTTATGCTGAATAAGTCTACGGCATTTTTTTTTAACTATTTGTTGGCATTACTTTATATTAGGATAATAATACATTTTGCATACAAGAGGAATACTTCCACAGCTGCATTAACTTGTCTTTGCATAATATTTATTTACACACAATGAATGTAAACTTGTGTGTTGTATTTTGGACAGTGATCTTAAAAGATTTTAAAAGAAATTAATTTGCCGTGGGAAGACAATTCCACGATACACATCTCAGTGATCAACATTGTGTGGTTGAACTTGAACTTAACTTCGCTCACAATATTAAATGCTAAAAATAGCTGACATCAGTTTTATCCTCAGCACCACAAGATTTTTATATGGCTGGAAATAATATCACGTACCAGTAAACTCAGGTGACCTCTCTGAACGACCTAGGGAAAATTCATTCAGGTTTTTATACGCCCGTTTACGGGATGTATAATGGTATACTGTTGACCGTCCGTCTGTCTGTCCATCCGTCGTCAACATGTCGGGCATCAACTCAAAAAAAAATTTAACCCATATGCATGAAACTTTGGTGAATTGTTTATATCTATTGACGTGAGCTCCCTTTCATTTTTATAAATTTCAGATTTAACGTTTTGGGGTTTTATTCATTAAAAAAGGGGGGATTTTCCAGTCTTCCGACAATAACTCAAGAATGCTTTCACCAACTTGCAAGAAATTTTGATGAATTGTTTTTATCTATTGACATGAGCTCCCTTTCAATTTTTATAAATTATAGATTTTACGTACATGTATCCGAGTTACAGGGTTTTATTCATAAAAAAAGGGTGATTTTCCAGTTTTCAGACAATAACTAAAAAATGCTTTCAGCAGTTCTCATGAAACTTTGGTGAATTGTTTATATCTGTTGATGTAAGCTCCCTTTAGAATTTATAAATTTTAGATTTTACATTTCTGAGTTATGGGGTTTTATTCATTAAAAAAGGGGGGATTTTCCAGTTTTTAGACAATAACTCAAAAATGCTTTCAGCAGTTCTCATGAAACTTTGGTGAATTATTTATAGCTATTGATGTAATCTCCCTATTGATTTTCATAAATTTCTAATTTGACATTGAGAAGAAATTGAACTTTATTTGTTTAAAGTCTGACAACAGATTTACTAAGTCATAGCGCAATGTGTTCAGTGTATTGCACAACAGCAAGAAATCTTTAATTGAATATAATTTCAATTCATATAACCAATTTCAAGTTCTTTGACTACATTTATTCAGAAACCTATAATATGTCAAATATTTGATTACAATCCAAATTCAGACCTGTATCAAGCTTGAATATTGTGTCCATTTTTGCCCCAACTGTTCAGGGTTGGACCTCTGCAGGCTTATCCGGCTGCGCTCAGCGAAGCAGTTTATTAAAGTTGCTTTGTATTAATGATTGAC